ACAGTATATAGTGTCTTTTATATTGGTGAGTTATTTGATGGAATGGCCAATGTCCGATGTTTAACTTTATAGCTAATGTTGGTCGATACCGAAACCATGCCAATAATATCATGCATCCCTAGAAGAAAATGTGTCTCTGAAAGGTTTTCTAGCAAACAAAGTGCTTAAAAAGTTCATTTAAAATTACTTATTTGCTAAGTTGTGATGTGTTCACACAACACTGTTTTTTCCATTCAATTTAGGAGTTTTTTTTATGACTTAATGATTCATAGGCCATAGCTAAGTTGCTAACAAATTTAAAAAAGGCATCTTTTTGAACAGGATCAAATACTGCGTGGTAAATGAGTCAAAATGATGCCATGGTCAACAAAAAAAATAAAAAATGATAATAATAAAATCCTAGAAGACATTTAGAAAGCCCAAACAACCATTTTATGGGTAAACTCAAGATTTTGTATCTTTAACATTGACCAGCATTTCTCTTAATGTTGTTCTTTATCGTTGGAGAGTAAACAACTTTGGACCAAGTTATTCAGGGATTATAACAGCTGTGACAGATCAATCTCATGATCTCCTTTCTCTGATTCTCATTATCAGAGCAGGAAAGGGCGTCTTCTCAGCCATGAAGCTCGGCAAGATCAAGAGCCCTAAAGACGACCACAAGAGAGGAGGTAAAGCATCCCTCAGCTGTTTGAGCCAAAGTTCATTAAGCATCATCACTCTCTTTTAAATACTGCTCTGATGAAGAAGTGTGAGTTGTTCTGAAGTCTTTTTATTATATTCAAAACTTGCTGTAATGCGTTAACAACAGTTGATCTGTATGGTATGAGCAGATGAGCCCGCAGTCCTGGAAATGGAAGATCTGGACAAGAAGGCCATGCGTCTCGCAGGGATGCTGGAACCAGACACCATATCTCTGGCCTCTGTGACAGCTGTCACCACCAACGTTTCCAACAAAAGGTCCAACACAATGAAGCACAACACAAACACACATACCACGCAGGGCAGAGACCGACACTCAGATCAGCACGCCACAGGACAGTCGATTCTTATTGTGTATGATCGAACAAGGCTGTTTCTGTGCTGTAGCGCAGGGACTTTTATACAGATGCTATAGAAGCAAACAAGATTTTAAAGTGCAGGAAACAGGATATAAGATGTAATTCATGTGTATGTATTAATAAGTGCAAATCTTTTCAAAGGGTTTTTAGATGACTTGTGTCCATTCTGCAAATATTAGACTTCTTTGACTTAAACGAAGCTCACTGCACAGTACAGCTTCCACTGAGTTTATATACATTTTCTACAAATTAGAATAAAAAAAAAGAGCATTCATCTGAAATTTGAGCTGAGAATTTATCTTGTGCTCACATCTTTTGTTTTCTTATAGTAGAATGTACTTCCTCAGTCAAAAAGAAAACGACTGTGTTGTACTTCTTTCAGGTCGAAGCCAGATATCAAGATGGAGCCGAGCTCTGGAAGACCAGTTGATTATCAGGTGTGTTCCTGTGTGTATTTTAAGTTGTATGTTTGATAGAGCAAATGGCTGAATAAGAATGTGGATGTGATTGTGAAATCTTGATTCTTGTCTCTCGATATATATTTATAAATGTTGTACAGTTTAAGGTATTTCTCTAAAGAAAATAACTCAGGAATGTGCTTTGACATTTGTAAGTCTTGAGAAAGGTAAAAATATGTTTTGGGAGGAGAGTGCAGAGGTGTGGAGCAGGTTTTTAAAGTCACAGCACTTATTTCGGCAAATATAAACCAGCAAATGAGCCCAGCAGCTTCAGACCACTTGACTGGGATATTCACTTTCCTGATTTATTCTGGCTGTGCTCATCTTATTATTGTTTTGAGAAAAACATGTTGACATTTCAAATCTTTTATTCCCCCTGCTATCAGGTTATTAAACTCGAACAGTAGTCAATTCAAATTACATTTGACTGATAATATCTTAAATGTTAACATATTTATTCATGTCTTATAATCTACTTTTGTTATATACATTTTTTTTTTTGCTTTAACTTATTTTACCATCCATCAGGCTTATGTTTATTCATTTAGGTTTTGTTTACTTTTATCAGACTTGTTTAATATATTTGCTGTGTAATTGTGAATGTAGTTATCTCTAATTGAATTACTCTTCTGTGAATCAATAAGATGGATCAAATCTAAAATACAAAAGGAAACGATATGTAGGCGCAGGAAATATGAGTTAAAATAAAATAAATTAATTGATTCCTGTAAGGATGCATCATTAGTATGAAATATTGATGAAGGGGACCAAGATGACAACAAGGTTCTAGACACAGGCACATGAAGTAAAAAAATAAATAAATAACTTTATCTTGTGCAAAACAAAAGAGTGCAGCACATGCAATGAAACTAAAATCTGAGTTTAGTCAACACAAATCAGACAAACATAAAAATCTGATAAAGAACAACTGAAATCCTAAATGAGCAGCATGTGCAAAAATTAAAAAATGAAGTCCACACGTGAAGGGAAATCAGAAAACAAAGAATATCTAGATCAAACTACAGAACTGATTACAAAGGTAAGAATGCGGAGCATGAAACTGCTGCAAACACAGACAAGATTTAGACTCAACAAAAAGACTAAGAAACTTAAGCTGCTAATTCAAAGACAATCAAAACAGCTAAATAAAATCGTAAAACAATAATTAATCATGCGTTAAAGTTTATGACGTAAAATTCCTGATTCCACTTCTATTTTCATAAAAGCCAGACTCACTTTTGTCAATAATATTTGTGAATTCGATTAAAATTAGTAGAGCAACTTGTCCAAGACCATTAACAGTTATTATTAGACCATTAACTATTCATTAAGACCTGATTCACAGCAGACAAGTGATTGTCAGAACAGTTGATCATTTAGCAAAAATAAAATAAAAAAATGCACAATTCTAGATTAGTTTCTTTTTACTAAGAAACTGGATCACCACACTTGTGAACTGTAATATCGCACAGTGTGTCATTAGATGTCAATCACAACGTTTTTCCTGCTATGACAAGAAAAAAAATTTATAGATAGGGTTATCACTAATAGGCCATTTAAACAAGGTTACCATGATAACACAAATAACCTTAAACTAATGTGCTATCTAATTTATACTGAGTTTATACCTCTCATGGCAAAATGTGCAATTAGGAGTTTAATTTCAAAAGTTGCAGTTTTACTATAGATTCTGTCCTACTGAATGAATTTGATTGTTATTTTTGTTAGTCCACATTAACTTTGATCACTTTAACAACCTTAATGCCTCCCATCAGATCAGCATTACAGTGGTTGAGGCTCGCCAGCTAATAGGTCTGAACATGGACCCCGTGGTGTGTGTGGAGGTGGGAGATGACAAGAAGTACACATCTATGAAGGAGTCCACCAACTGTCCGTACTACAACGAGGTGAGAGCATTTCCATTTTCAACAGTCAAACTGCAAGTGTGAACTTTTTACAGTGTATCACACTATAAAACATTTCCTGTGATTTTTTTTTTTAAGTTAATGTAAATTTTATTAAATCACATTAAAGATACTGAATTTCAGTCATAAGGGATTGGTGGAACTTTTACTTTGAGATTTCACTGAAAGTAATCCAAAAAGGCTTGACTGCACTGTAATAATCCCATGATGGGAGAGGATTTTACTGTAAATTCAGCGTTTAAGCCAGTGTGGATGAAGGCGGTGCAGAGCTCAGCCTCTTTGTTGAGCCCTGCAGTGAGTGAAAGTGACAGTTTGTCTGATATGGATTCCTTCCGTTTGACTGAAAAACCCCCGTTGGCAGTAAAATTCAAAAGCAGAGAGGTTAAAAAAAATGCTTCTCACACTTTGGGATTGTGCCGTTTTCTGCTTCACATCAGTTCTATGTAAATTATCGCTCCATTCCAGCCTCAGTCATTTAAAATGGACTGACAATCCAGAGCTTGAGTGATCTCTAATAAGAACCATAATTATTCATAATACAAACGCTATCACAGGACGTCAGACATTGGATCTTGCTGACTTTATTGTAGACGGTCTTTTTCTCACAGACGTTTCATACTCAAAAGAGAAAGCGCTGGGGATAAATCCTGATAGGTTGTCCCACTGCAGCACTCATCACGTGCAAACAGAAACAGCACAGAACAATAGTAAGAGCGGTTGTTCATTTCCAGTTGATGATGGAGTAGTGGATGAGGAAGATCTGATGCTTGTGTTGTTTAAAAGGAGAAGCACTGTTTTGTAAAATTGTCATAAAGAGATTGCCACCGTTTCCAACAGACGGTGCAGGAACATGTCCCTACGCTGCCCGGCCGAGGCACTCTACCTCAGCACAGTCAGCCCAGCAATGGAGAGCTGCTGATCTCTCTGTACTGTCTCCTGAGTGCACAAAAATGTCCAATCTCCTTCCACGTATTACTTGAATATCTTTGTAAGTTTTACTTGACTTTGTTTATCTGTTTTTGCTGGAACAGTTGTAATGATGGCTGTATTTTCCCACAGCCCTAGCCAGCAGCTCCTCAGCAGATGCTGTCCTCAGATCAGCATACTGCAGCCACTTTTCATAAACAAACATGACCACAAAGTTCTGACCATTCGCACAATGCTCACCACATACTGGGGCAATGCACAAAACGAGGTGTCCGCTGGTGGTAGCAATAGAAAACTATGCAATTTTCATCACACACTCACATCAGTGAGACACAAGAATGGGACTTCTCATTGACTATAAATTCACATTTTGTCGACGACCACAGGGGAGGGAAACAGGCCAGGAGACATAACGAGAAGAGAGAAGTCAAGCATGTAGGACTGAGGGTAGCAACTCTAAACATAGAGAGAATGACAGACAGAGGAGTGCTGGCTGACATGATGCAGAGAAGGAAGGTAGATGTTTTATATGTCCAAGAGACCAAGTGGAAGGGCAGCAAGGCTCACAGCATTGGTGCAAGATATAAGCTATTTTACCATGGTGTGGATAGAAAGAGAAAAGGAGTAGGGCTTGTCCTGAAGGAAGAGGTCACAAGAAATGTAATAGGGGTGAAAAGTGTGTCCAATAAAGTGATTTGTCTGGAGGTAGAAGTGGAGAAGTAGAAGGTCTGATGTTGAAATTTGTCACTGGTCTTGGCGTTGGCAGAAAAGATGTGGCAAGTTTTTCATGGGCACAACCCACATACTCAACTCTGCTGCTTAACCCACAAATGCATTTTCTTAACAATTGTGGCACCATTTAAGGGGAACTAAACAGAACTTCCAAGAGTATAAAATTATTTGACATGAAGCATTGTTACGACAAAGAAATGATCAACCAAACATATTTTTTTCTTATTTTTGTGCCTCATTTGTTTTAATTATGCTTTTGATGGGATGTACTATACCCTTGTTAAAAAATAGGTATATACATTTTAATAGTAAACCTTTTTTTCTACTTCCTGTAGTATTTTGTCTTTGATTTCCACGTCCCCCCTGATGTCATGTTTGACAAGATCATCAAGCTTTCAGTAAGTAATTGATTTAGCAAAATGTACACACTACAGCACAACAACAGTAATAAATATTAGGTTTTTTTTAGGGGAGGTCATTTTTATCATCGTACACATATCATTTGTGAGCTTAATTTTAATTTGAGGTGAAATGAAAACTTTCAAGAATGACTGTGTATTATGGCTGTAATATGGAGAAAGTGTCCCCTTTCTTCTTTTACTCACTCATGTTTATCTAAGTTGTGCAAGCGTGTGTATGATTACATGGCTGCTATAAAAAAATTACAATAAAATAGATGATTACACTTATTTATGCTGAATGACTTCATTAAACTCACAAGTTTGTGTTTTTGTGCAATTTGAGTCTCAGGTTTGTGTTAAAATCTTCTCTTTTATTTAATTAGGTTATTCATTCTAAAAACCTGTTACGAAGTGGAACGTTAGTGGGAACCTTTAAGATGGATGTGGGGACTGTTTACTCTCAGCCTGGTAAATTATTATATTTACCTCCGATAAGACTGTAAAAGCTGCAGATACCCCTCAAGTTATCATTTGAATATCATGTTGCTGTTTAATGAGTTGCTTGTAAAGCTGTTTTTGCCAGTTCAGCAACTTTTTTTATGACATTTATCACAGAACACCAGTTCTACCACAAGTGGGCTATCCTGTCTGATCCGGATGACATCACTGCAGGATGCAAAGGTTACGTGAAATGTGACATCGCTGTGGTTGGAAAAGGTGACAACATCAAGACCCCACACAAAGCCAACGAAACAGATGAAGATGACATAGAGGGGTAATAAGCTTTTACTAATCCTCCTGGTTCCAAGTACTTTTTTAAAAAGTGGTCAAAAGTAAAACTTGTGTTTGCACAACAGTACTCACCATTTTCAGGTATAAGAGCATATAATTGAAGATTTTTCCACCGATAGTTCTTTTGTTCCAGTAGGTGCACTTATTAAACCTCGAGTTCAATTACTAACTGTGTTTATCTGCATTTGGTTATGCTCCAGAAATCTGTTGCTCCCTGAAGGCATCCCAGCAGAGCGGCAGTGGGCGAGAATTTATGTAAAAATTTACCGTGCAGAGGGACTTCCCAAAATGAACACCAGCATTATGGCGAATGTGAAGAAAGCCTTCATAGGAGAGAACCGAGACCTGGTGGACCCCTATGTTCAAGTGCAATTTGCTGGCCAAAAGGTTTTGATGTTCCTCTTTTTATTCTTTGTTGTGTTTTTGCTGATTTTTATTTATTGATATGCAGTTTTTGCTCCACAGAAAATGATGCCCTTGGCTCAATTATTTTATCATTTTCTTAACCAGCATTCAAAGTTTGTGAAAATAAAAGTGATGTTTTCTCACAGATAATACCAAGTATACACATGTTAATGCACCGTATAATGAAAAAATAGCATAAGTTTGTTTTGATGTTTGGTTTTCTTATTGCTCGTCATCAGAAAAGATGGGCAAGCATGTATTTGCCGATGTTTTTTTGGTGTGTGTGAATATGTGTTTGTTAGTCTGTCTTAAGAAAAAAGGTAATCACTGGATGAAAGCCATGATCTCCAGTCAAATGATTATTTTTTGTTCGTCTACAGGGAAAAACTTCAGTCCAGAAGAGCAGCTATGAACCAATCTGGAATGAGCAGGTTATCTTCACAGAGCTGTTTCCTCCTCTCTGCAAAAGAATCAAGGTCCAAATAAGAGACTCAGATAAGGTCACTGATGTTGCCATAGGAACCCACTTCATCGATCTACGCAAGATATCAAATGATGGCGATAAAGGTAAAGATCAAAACTCTAGAGTCAGTATGAAAGCCAAATATCCAATCTGCAATGATAATTTGTTGCGTTTAATAATTATTCTACTGGTAATGCTAATCTTCTCTGGAACTTCTTTAGGCTTCCTGCCCACCCTGGGCCCAGCCTGGGTCAACATGTATGGCTCCACCCGTCATTACACACTCATGGACGAGCATCAGGACCTGAACGACGGACTTGGAGAAGGTGTGTCCTTCCGAGCACGACTCCTGATTTCTGTAGCTGTGGAGATCCTGGACACCGTATCACCTGATATCATCAGCTCAACTGAGGTTCAAATGGAGTCTGTCTCCAACATCTCAGAGGTGAGAGGCCTTGATTGACAGTTTAAAAAACAGAAGTTATACTGATGCAATTTCCATGAGAAAGCAGAAGTTTTTAACCACTTGTGACCCTCTGGTCTCATGATAGACTCTGACATGATTGTTCTGACATGTATTTAGCACATGTAGCAATCATAAACTATCTTAAATATGAGAGAATAGGAGAAACTGAAGAAAAATTGAATCAGACTAACTAGAATTAGTCCAACCGCAAGAAACATTTGTGCTATATTTGAAGCACAAACTTGTCCCATGATTACTGCTTTGTTATTTATGTTTGGCAACTGCAGGCTGCTATGATGACAACTTCTGCATAAGAACCGTCATGATGAACTGCCCTATTTTTTCTGCTTTTTATAAGAGTAAATAAAAACTGGAAAGCATCGAAAAATGTTGAAGGGTGCCGATGCAGCTACTGCCAAAAATACCTAAAATGCTAACTTTGTAATAATATGTTAAAATGGTACCACTTTCCAATAAGGCTCCCCTTATCGATGCTAATAAATAGTTTATAGATATGTTATTAATTCTTCTATAAACACTTCCATCCATCCATCCATTATCTTTACCCGCTTCTTCCATTTTGGGTCACGGGGGTCGCCAGTGCCCATGTCCCGCAATCACTGTGCGTGGGGTGGGGTACACCCTGGACGAGTCGCAAGTCCATCACAGGGCCACATAGAGACCAACAATCATTCACTCTCTCACTCACACCTAGGGACAATTTAGAGTTAGCAATCAGCCTTAACATGCATGTTTTTGATCTGTGGGAGGAAACCAGAGTACCCGCAGAAAACCCACGCATGCACGGAGAGAACATGCAAACTCCACCCAGAAAGGCCTCCGGACCGGGATTTGAACCAGGGACCTGCTCGCTGAGAGGCAGCAGCTCTACCAGTTGCGCCACCGTGCTGTCCTTCTATAAATACTTGATAAATCATTAAAAATTGTTTATTATGCATTAATTAAGGGTGACCGAGACAAAACTGACCAGTTTCTTGCCATATAGTGAGCCAAATCTATATTTCATCTAGAGTTGTTATATTAAACATTTCTAAGTTACTACCTTGTAAGCACAATAAGCATTTGTAAACATATTTTTTAGGATATAATATTGTACTTTATCACTGCATTATAATATCTACAACCAGGGGTGGAGGCCTCCGGGTTCAACTGTCCCCCTCTTACAATGCTGTGACTGCTAGTATCACTCAGCCCTCTGTGAACAGTAAACAGCCATCAGCGTGCTAATGATCCATTGTTAGGCTGATGGTCCTTCTTGAGCATGTGATCAGTTGGTTTTGGTTGTCAGCAGCATACTGGTTGATCCACTCTGAGAAGGTGCTATTTAAGAAACTGAGCTGAATACAGCACCTCAGACTGAGGAAGTCTCTTGGATGAGAGACGAAACGTTTCTATATTTTTTTGCTTTGTTTTGTTTTTTGTTATTTTGAATGTTCAGAGGACCAGACTGAACTTTTTTGGATTTTTCTACCTGGATTATTGAGCATGCATCAGGATAACTTCAAGGAGTGGTTCTGTTGCAGTGAAAGGGGGTTCAGGATGCCCAAGAAAGTCAAACAAGCATCAAGACCATCTCCTAAATAGGATGCAGCTATGAGATCGGGCCACCACCAGTGCAGAGCTTGTGTGAGAGCATCTGAACGCACAGTGAGACGGAGGCTTTTGGAGGATGGCTTGGTGTCAAGAAGAGCAGCCAAAACGTCACTACTCTCCAAGAAAAACATCAAGGACAGACTTACTCTGCTGGAAGTGTAGAGATGGGACTGTAGAGGACTGGGGAAAGTTTTTTTTTTCTTCTTCTGAATAAGCACCCTTCAGAATGTTTGGGACATCTGGAAAAATGATTGTCCCGAGAAGAAAAGGTGAGCGCTACTATGAGTCCTGTGTCATGCCAACTGTGAAGCATCCTGAGACCGTTCATGTGTGGCACGTGGAATTGCTTCTCATCCAGGGGAGTGGGTATGCACAAAATATTACCTAAGAACACTGCAATGAATGACGAATGGTATCAAAACAACCTCCTAGACTAGAACAACTTCTCCCAACAATCCAGGAGCAATTTGCAGCTGAACAATGGTATGTCCAGCATGATGGAGCACCGTGTCACAAGACAAAAGTAATAACCAAGTGGCTCGGTGAACAAAACATTGAAAGTTTGGTCCATGACAAGGAAACTCCCCAGATCTCAATTCCACTGACAGCATGTGGTCAGTTCTCAAAAGGAGGGTGTACAAACAAAAGCCCAGAAGCTCTGATCAACTCCAAGCACTGATTAGGAAAGAATGGGTTGCCATCACTCAAGATTTTGCCCAGAATCTGATATCCAGCATGCTCAGGTGAAAAGTCTTGCATCAGTCTTTGCATGGGTCTTAAAGAAGAATGGTCAACATGTAAATATTAAGTCTTTACTTAAACTGGATGTATTTGATTAAAAAAAATGTATGGAATGCTTACAATTGTACTTTATTATACCAGGACTTAATTTATAAACTGATTGATGCCGGAACAAAAATAGTGGGCAAGCTGGCAGAGGGGCACCAGAAATTTTTGAATAAAGTAGATGCTATTTTCTGCATTTTAGTGTATTTTAACAGGTTGTTAAGCGTTTACGTTTACCTATATTTGTAAACACTCCACATCTGCCAAGCATCCTTCCCCCCGTCTTACTTGACAGTTCCGAGCTCAACACTGTCCCTGCTCGTTGTTATCCAACTCCACATATGAAACCTCTAGGCGCCTGTGGGCTGCTGCCCGAACACAACTGCCTGGTTAGCTTGGCACTCACCCCCACCATTCTTTTAAGGGAAGACATTTTTAAAGGTAGATGCTGAAATGCTACTTGAAGAGGCAGCTCATATAAGTGGTTGTTGTGTTTAAAATGAGTGTTTATGTAATTATTTTCAGTTTACATATCCAATATAAGTTTTATTCATTCAAGGCAGTCATATTTGTTCATAACTTTATTATTATTAAGCCTGAGAGTTACCGGATCCAAGAAAACAGTTACGGGAATGCACCCTGTCTAAATAATAGAATTCCAGGATCCCGCTCAAATTAAGCACTGCATTATACCATATAAAAATCTGACTAAAGGTCCTAAAAAAAACACTGAGGCTGCAAACTTTCAATTCTATTTCAATTCTGTTTATTTATATTGCGCCAAATCATAACAAAGTTGTCTCAGGGCACTTTACTGGAACATTCACATACATAGAAAAGCCAATTAGTAAAGTTCTCTATCTAAGGAAGTGTGAAAGTTTGTGAAAAGCAAAACTTGTGCCATTTTCAAAACTTTTGGCCACGACTGTAGTGCACTATTCCTGATCCAGTTATACATTTTGATGTATAATTGCATGGTTTTAAGACACTTCTTAAAAAAAAAGTTATAGTCATAAGTTAGCTGTACTGCAAGTTTCAGAGATTTTGGCAAAAGTTTGTGCACTTATACACTGAAAGGTAAATCCCAACGTAGCTCAACTATATACAAAAAGAATGAATAGGTAATTTTATGCCCGCAAGTATTTATAATAATACTTCCTCAAACTGTAAAATAAAAATGCTAATTAGCCTTGTCTTTCCTTTAGAGTGCCACAGGGAAAATGGAAGAGTTCTTCCTATTTGGTTCCTTCCTGGAGGCCACCATGATCGACAGGAAGATCAGCGACAAACCGATCAGTTTTGAAATTACAATAGGTAATTAAAAAAAAGGTTCCTAACCTTGTTAATATGGACTGACACACCACAAATCACAACACATAACAGTGAAATAACTTGAAATATGACCATAAACAGACATCTGTAGCCACTGTAACTGTGAGCGCTTTCTGAACCTCTAATGCAACAGGTAACTACGGCAACCAGATAGATGGAGTGAGTAAATCTTCCACGGCTAAGAAGAGAAAGAAAGACGGGGAGAATGAAGATGAGGAGAACGAGCTGATACAGAACTCGAGTGAGGACGAGGCGGAAGAAGACAGCAACATCACCTCAGTCTCATCAACTCCTCCAATGAAGCCTTTCATCACTGACAGGTCAGAGGTCACCGAGTCACACAAACACAGATAAGCTAGTTACAAATTAGTGCTGATTGTGAGTGGGTAAACAAAATGAAAAGGTTTTCAACTTTAAATTCATTCTGACTTTTTAGAAATTACTTCCATCTGCCCTATTTTGAAAAGAAGCCGTGCGTCTACATCAAGAGCTGGTGGCAGGACCAGAGGCGACGACTTTACAACTCAAACATGATGGATAAGATTGCAGACAAGCTGGTCAGTAGCTCCAATTCACCCTGACATTATGAAAACAACTTGCTCATTATGACTCTGTAAACAAGCAGCCACTATCTTCACAGTGTCCACTGCTGTAGTTTATCTTGTACTTTACTATAGTAGCAATAATGTAAATAATTACATCATTGATAATGTTAAGCTCCATTGCACTGTGTCCTGCCAGGAAGAGGGATTAAATGATGTTCAAGAGATTATTAAGACAGAGAAGGCCTTTCCAGAGCGCAGACTCAGGGGAGTGCTGGAGGAGCTGAGCGTCGGCTGCAGGTAATCAGCACAATAAGAAGATGTATAATAAATTAGACCTGGCATTTTGAATAGAAGCCAATTCTTGTATGAAGACAGTAAAAGTAGAAAAACGGCTGCAAATGTCAGATACTTTGGCACCTAATAGCTTGTTTTGTGTTGAATTGGGTCTATAAAAATAACTTTTCATAATTAAGGCAGCCAGCTTCCTCTGAGACATATTTATCCTGCAGTACTTTGCAAACAAACACATTTATTAGGGGTGCTGTGGGAAAGGCAGACAACCCTCGGTAATCTCTAAGTGCTTTGGGGATTCTGTTTGAGTCGTACACTACTCACACGTGTAATCGCCTCCTCTTTGTTGTTATTAGATCATGGCAGATGAATATGTGGATGCAGAGTTTATCAATATATTTTCCTTCTACTTTTTTTTTTGGTTTTGATTTGGTTTTGCAGTAAGTATGTGACGCTTGCCAACAAAGACGTGAATCAGGCAGGCAGAACCAAACTCGATCGAGAACGACTCAAATCCTGCATGAGAGAGATGGTACGATTTATTCTTCTTAGACACATTTAAGCTTCTGATCTCACTGCTGAAGTATTTAGAAACTAAATCTGGTGTAAAAACCAAACAAAGACAGTAATTTTACACATTTTCCCCCACATTAATTCATACCCACATTATATTTACATGCATTTATTTATCTTAATCCATGATGTTCTCTTTGGTACCTGCAGAACAGAATTAATTTTGTTTTAAAAGGTTAATAAAAATGCAGTTTTCTGTAGATCTGAAGCGCTTTGAAGTTGGTTTTAATCAGGGAAAAAAGAATGTAATTAGAAAAAATTACATTATTTATTGAGCTATACTCATCATTTTGTGCTTTTAATTATCTCTTCTCGAGTAAATCTGTGAGGCGGTGAAACTGGTATGCATTGTTTTGTGCAAAATTTGAATTGTGCAGTTAAATACACAAGTTTCTAAATGTAGAATAAATTACAGTTGATAATAATATGTGATTGTTAGAATCTTAAGCATTAACGCAAACTTTTCCACTCCTGCAGGACAGCATGGGACAACAGGCCAGGCAGATCCGCACACAGGTGAAGAAAAACACAGTCAGAGACAAACTCAAGCTGGCGCAGAACTTCCTGCAGAGGCTTCGTTTCCTCGCTGATGAGGTTTTTTTTTTTTTTTTTAATAAATTCACATATTTATCTGTGGTGAAAGGGTTGAAGATGACATGAACTACCTTTTTTTGTTTTGTTTTGTTGTTAGCCACAGCACAGCATTCCAGATGTTTTCATCTGGATGATGAGCAACAATAAGCGCATCGCCTACGCCCGGATTCCTTCCAAAGATATCCTGTACTCCATAGTGGATGAAGAAACGGGCAAAGACTGTGGAAAAGTGAAAGCTGTCTTTCTCAAGGTTCCATAACTTATTTTTTCAAGCATTAGCAGTGTTATGCTAACTTACTAAACATTGAGCTACTCTTTACTCATCAAAATAGGTTTTCTTTCCGAAGCAGCTGTTTGCTTCAAGGATCTGTTCATTAATGTTCAGCTCATTCTTGTTATCACCTGTGCCCACAGTTGCCAGGTAAAAAGGGCTTTGGTCCTGCAGGCTGGACAGTTCAGGCTAAACTGGAGTTATATCTGTGGCTGGGCCTCAACAAACAACGAAAGGACTTCCTCAGTGGTCTCCCGAATGGTTTTGAGGAGATTAAAGCAGCCAAAATGGGCCCCAGTCTTCACTCTTTACCCCCAGTCAGCCTCGTCTACAACAGTAAGCACTGACCAGTTACTAAAAAGGACAAACTACAACAAACATGATCATTTACTGATGAAAACATGTTGCCTAGGATTATTTATTTATTCCATTGTAGCACATATTTACAGTAATTTGCAAAGAGCTTTTGCATACTTTAGTCTTGCAGCTATTTTTGTTCTCCCATCACATTTTCTTTTTTTTTTTTTTACCATTAGGTTTTGTTTTTGACGTATATCTATTTACACTTAGATTTTAAGTCTGAAGTCAATAAAAACACAAACAAACTCACTCAGAAGGTAGAATGAGACATATTGATCTCTTTGTGTGAAGTAGTTTATCTTTGTGTGTGTGTGCGTGTGTGTGTGTGTATGTGTGTGTGTCAGTGAAGCAGGTGTTTCAGCTGCGAGCTCACATGTACCAGGCCCGCAGTCTGTTTGCGGCCGACAGCAGTGGTCTCTCAGACCCCTTTGCTCGGGTCTTCTTCTCCACACACAGCCAGGTTACCGAGGTAACCGTTTATATATCATATATTCTGCCTGTGTGTGAGTTTACTGATTATGTGTAAACCCCATGAATGTATGTGCTGCAGGTTCTGAGTGAGACTCTTTGCCCCACATGGGACCAGCTGCTGGTGTTTGATGATGTGGAGCTGTTCGGGGAGGCCAGTGAGCTGAGGGACGACCCTCCAATCATCGTGGTTGAACTATACGACCAAGACACTGTGGTAGGACTGAATGCTGCACATTGAAAATACTTGTGTAACTGCTTAAAAAAATTATTTAAATTAACTAAATATTTACTTTTCCATCCCTTATGTCTGGCCATCCTTGTCTACCTTCACCACAACTGTCACTTGTTTCATTCACGCTGGCTTCATAGAGTGCAATGCTACACTTTATTTTTTTAAGAAATTTGTGCAAAGCTAATGGAAAAACTTTCACGTCTACCTTTGCAACAGTAGAAATTGTTCTCCAGGAGTGTTGCAAGGGTTGAAAAGTCTTTGCAGTGCTCACACAAGGAGCAAAAGTTAGAAACTTTTTATTAATATTTATTTATAAAGCTAGCTTACGCATTCTTATGTTAACTATCACTGGGATGATTCAGTTTACAAGCTTTTTTCTTTTCAATTGCATCAACCACTTTGGTCAATACTGACACCAAGTGGCTATTTTGGTAACTGCACTTCCCGCCTGTGTCTAACCCCTTCCCTTTCCCCTCACTGTCTTGGTTTGCTGGTGTCTCACAATGTGCTGCACAGGGTAAGGCAGAGTACATAGGTCGGACATTTGCAAAGCCCACCATCAAGATGTGTGATGAGCATTACGGGCCTCCCAGGTTCCCCCCACAGCTGGAGTACTACCAGATATACAGAGGGAACTGCACTGCCGGCGAGCTGCTGGCTGCCTTTGAGCTTCTGCAGGTACAAGATGCAATACAACACTCATAGTTAAGCTGCTTGAAGATACTGCTAGTAGTTGAAGTGTTTTTATTTATTTATTATTATTTAGTGGTGCATGAACATAGTACAGTAGTCCCTCACTTATTGTGGAGGTAACCAGACACCCCCGCGATTGGTGAAAATCCGCAAAGTAGGGATGTAATATTATTTTTGGCATTTATATATATTTTAAAGGATTTATAAAACCTTTCCACACTATTGCAATGTTCTTAAAAATGTTCTAAACTCTCTAAACGCTCTAAAAGAGCACAGTGGAAGAGCGCAGTCATTTTTTTTCATTTAGCCTTTATTTATACAGGTAGTCTCATTGAGCCACGAGAACTCATTTTCAAGAGAGACCTGTTTAGGGAGCAGATGGTGGGGGTTAAGGGCCTTGCTCATGGGCCCAGGGTGGGGCGAATGAGGGTGGGGGCAAGTGTGGGTGTTTAACCTACCCCACCCACATTTTTGATGTTGTCGGGGCTGGGGCGTGAACCAGCGATCTTCGGATCACAGGCCCACCTCTCTAACCTCTGCGCCACCGCTCCCCCAGACTCAGTCAGACTGATGATACGGGTACTGAGAAAATCGTACTGGTCATCTGGAGCACTGGGACATTTCCTGGTGGCCTGGCCTGCTCAGTGATCGCTGAGGGGCATTAAAGTCTTGGTTCGAGTCATGTTTGATTATTTTAAATAAACAATCCATGCCACTCCCTCTGGTATTCGCCTTACTGAAGCTCCCACAGCAGCGATGGGGAAAGACTGACCCCACCCTGCCCCCTCCTTTCTCTTTGTGAGGCTGTCTGTCACAGCAGAGCAGAGACACACAACAGGTTGCGTGCTCGCCTGTTCACTGTCTTTGATCTGCTGTGACAGACAGCCTCAGAAAGAGAAAGGAGGGGGCCCCTCTGCAATCACTGAGCAGGCCAGGCCACCGGGAAATGTCCCAGTGCTACCGATAGCCAGTCCGCCACTCAGCACAATGCTCTGTTCCGTCACCTTCCATCACTCAGCCAATCGTGTGTCGTGTACAATCTTACGTTGAAAACCCGCAAGACTGAGTCCACAAAAGTCGAACCGCCAAGTATTGAGGGACCACTGTTTTCAGAATTTATTGAAACTTGTGTTGTACTTTGTAGTTTCATGAACTGTGGCAATCACATCTTCTTTTACTCTATTCCATTTTCCACTTTCTATTAAATTCACCTTTCCGCTTCTGCTGCTGCTTTCAGAAACCATTCAATGCAGAGGAGATCAGGCGAGCTCTAATTGCTGTCCATAACTTTGCTATTCCTCAAATAAAGGTTCTTTACAAACTTTTTTCTCTTTTATTCACCCTTTTTGTCTAACTGTCTGTGCTGTTTTTAGCGTTTGCACTGCTGACACAACTGTTTGACCTCTCCTCACATCTTGCAGTCAGTCACTTGTTGCACTAAGAAAAGCTGAACTAAATAAATCTGATTGGGTGCTTCCAGATGTGTTTTGAACTGCTTTCCACTCTCATTAGATTGGTCAAGGAGGCCGGGCTGACCTTCCACCCCTCGAAGGACCAACAGACTCCGAGCATGGACCCATCATCCCTGTGCCGCTGGGTATACGACCCATTCTGAGTCGCTATCGCATAGAGGTGAATTTCATTTTGTAGGACTGGGTGTTTTGTGCCGTACAAATCCTCCTCTCTTACAGGCTTTTTTTTTTCCTTCTTCTGTTTTAGGTATTATTCTGGGGATTAAGGGACCTCAAGAGGATAAACCTAGCTCAAGTTGATCGACCCAGAGTGGACATCGAGTGTGCAGGTCGAGGAGTTCAGTCAGCTCTTATTCAGAACTACAAGAAAAATCCCAACTTCAGCACTCTGGTCAAATGGTTTGAGGTGGTGCGTTCACCTGCTTTTGTGTTTAAATCACTACAAAGATGGGTTGTATTAGTAATTGTAGATGTGAAATTTATTTCTGTGTTCCCTAATGTTCTTTTTTTTCCATAGGACCTTCCAGAAAATGAGCTTCTCCATCCTCCCCTGAACATCCGGGTGGTGGACTGCAGAGCGTTTGGCCGCTACATCCTGGTGGGGTCCCATGCTGTTACCAGCTTGAGGCGTTACATCTACAGCCCTCCAGACAAGACGTCCAACAACTGGGCCAATGCAGGTGCCTACAGTTTACATTCTGCTATGCCATTTTCATTCATTAGTACAGAGTCTGTTAGTTATTTAGTGTATATGTGAGAAACAATATGAGTATTATATTTGTTGTTGTTTGTTCAATGTAACTATTGCAGCCTTTCAAAGGAATCTTAGACATCCTTCATTGACTCAACTCTTTAATTCCTAAAAGAATACTTCTTATTATTAACTTTGCTGATTTCTCTGCTTACTCTTTGCTCTAACCAAACTTTCACGACTGAATCTTACCACTGTTTTCCATCTTGTTCCTCTCTTGCATGGCCTCCTCCCACCCATCGCTTGTCTTGTCCTTTCCTGCTGCCGGCTGCTGCTGTCTTAAACCGTCGGCTTCCCTCCAGCTAAGCTAATGAATGGCTACATGGTTCTAACCAATGGCGGCACCCATCCTTACTCCTTACCCAGCCTATCTTCCCGCACCTTCTCTCGTCCTGCAGGTGACGTCATCGTGAGCTTGGAAGATGAACCCCCGATGCGCAAGATGGACACTGTCGTCAAGTTAGACGCTGTGAGGTTTTCTTTTGACTTAAAGCTTCTAAAAGTACACTTTATATTATGCATTTGATATTTCTGTATAGCCTCCTCCTTCCGTGTCCAATTCATTTTAACTACCTCTATATGTGTGCATCCCTTGTGTGTAATAATCCTTGTGTTGTTTTATGTAACGCCCTCTGTCGAAGATGTCTGATGCTGTTGTAAAAGTTGACATGGTGAGTATCTTCCACTAGATTTTCAACTGCTCTTGTGCGCACTGTGGTTGATGAGTGCTTAGCAGTAACTGGGATATATTTCGTGTCTGTGCCATTTTTACCAGATCGAAGAAGAAAGCGACAAAGAGAAAAAGAAGAAGAAAAAGAAGAAGAAGGGAGGAGCGGAGGAAGAGGAGGAGACAGACGAGAGAGTGCTAGATTGGTGGTCCAAATATTTTGCCTCAATTGAGACGCTGAAGGAGGTTGTAAATTCTCTCTTAGTCTACATGATTTACTTGTTTGTTGTCGTCGTTGTTTACGTGTGTGAACGAGTTGTAATAATTTGTTTTCACTTTTTAAATGTTCTTGTTTGCTCTGTCAGACCCTCAGAGCTCAGGAGGCGGCTCAGGCGGAAGCAGAGGAAAGAGAGGACTTCGAGATCGCAGTCGAAGCTGCAGGTACTGAACTCAAACCCACATCCATCAATTACTTGAATAAAACATCACAAATGTTCAGTTTCTTATTCTTTAAATATCAATATATTCACAATTATTTTCACCTTCTAGAGCATTCATTGGAAACCTATTTTGTCCATAGGTTTCTGCTGATATTTTCAAGTGATGAAAGTCAATTTAAAAATGTTTTCTAGAGAGCATTCTTAAAAGACACTGTCTGGGCTTTTTTGTTTCTGATTACAAGTTTGCAGCATAGTTTGTATAATAATTCCAAAAATATCTCCTTAAACACAATAATATTCTAATGGCATCTCATCTGTGAACTGATCCTTTTGAAAAATGTTTAGATATCAACTTATGGGGAAAAAAAAAAAATTTAACATTTGGATGCAAATCATAAGCAATGGCCTGAATGAACCAGGAAACAAAAATTAAATTTTTGCTTGAAATCTTGATTTAGAACAACACGATAAACAAAATGTTCAGTTTAGACTTCGTTTTCAGCTGACTCAAGATGTATTATTAAAAATCTAGTTGTTGTTGACTGAATATATAGACCATGAAATTTCATTAGCACAATTTTACAACGATAGAAAAAATTCAAAGATGAAATTTGTTGTCAAGAAGAAAATCTTGTTTCCTATGAGCTGCTGTAATATGTCATGTAATATTTTTCCTGCAATAATCTTAATGTAATGTGATTGCTACTAATGGCATTATAATATTTGCCTGTTCAAAATACAACTGAATACTGACTGAACACTGTTCTGAAAAAAATAGATTTTTTTAATGGCTTCTGCAACTGCACTCACAGTCACATCATGGCAGTTTAACATTTTAGTTTTATGTAAATATGGTTACATCAGGTGATAGTAATATTTTACACACTCCTATTAAACATAACAGAAACATCTAAGAACATTTTAGATTAAAAGAAACAGTCTCCTCAAAATGGATCTTTCAGCTTTTATGCAATATGTTGTGTGGTGCTGTGAGCATCCCTCTCCATAACTCCAGCTCTGCTTCGTCTGCCTTCCTGAACAGATAACAGACCTGATGACCCTCTTCTGAGAGGCTCTAAGATGAAGGACAAAATCAAGGAGAAGAAGAGCTCCAAGGACAAGAAGAAGGGTCATACTGCAGACGGGTCAGAGAAACGACCAGTCAAACCAAAAGTAGATGAGTTAAAGGTGAGGGTGTTGAGACAAAGGCTAGCCAGTGCATAATTTTTTGCATCTCCACTGAAGCGTTATTTGTATTGACTTTCTTCTGAAGGTGTACAACAAGGAGTTGGAGAATGAGTATGGCAACTTCGAAGACTGGCTTCACACTTTTAACTTGTACAGGGGAAAGGCTGGAGATGACGACGAACACACGCTGGATGATGACAGGATTGTGGGCAGATTCAAGGTAGGAGCCGACTGTGTGGAAACATTTATAGCACAATATACATATTCTCGTGCACGTAAATCAATATTTTTCTGTGATTCAGGGTTCCCTGTGTATGTACAAGCTGCCCCTTTCTCAGGAGATCACACGAGAGGCAGGATTCGATCCTAATATGGGAATGTTTCAGAGCATTCCTCATAACGATCCCATCAACGTCCTCGTTCGAGTTTATGTGGTCAGGGTGGGTGACAATTTGTAACGTTTAAATGTAATCCATGGTGGAAATAAGAAAGGCTCTTAAATCATGTATTTCCTTCTCTTCATCTCAGGCCACAGACCTCCATCCTGCTGATATCAATGGCAAGGCTGATCCGTACGTTGTCATTAAGCTGGGCAAGTCAGAGATCAAAGACAAGGAGAACTACATCTCCAAGCAGCTCAACCCAGTGTTTGGCAAGTGAGTGGACACTTTAAACCTACATTTATGCAAAAATACGTATTTTTAATTAATATTTTGTGCTTGTGTTGTAAAACAGATGAGCCTGTTAGAATATGCTGCATATTTCTTTCAACTGTTCAGTAAGCACAGTGTCAAAATATTGTCTATACAGGTAAATGTGTGTGTGTTAGCTGATAGTTGTGCAGAACTATAAAAGTAAAACTCTTCAAGTACAGCTTAGAATGTTTCTGTTGAAAATATTTTTAGATGCAAAGCTTAAGTTTGCATTTGTATTTTTTTTTCATATTCATGAAGGGATGCATGTGGTTGTGATTACATTTGTTTTGATAATAGAAATGTACAACAATGATCACACATCACTGTGTAACAGGGCTATTCAACTGGCGGCCCTCGGGCCAGATGTGAATTTCCTGGCCACCAATGAGTTCATTAATAAAATTAAAATAAATTTTTAAAAACAGACAAAATCAGTGAGAGACCTTTAATCAAATTGAATAGACAAATATTTCAGTCAGAGAAACAATCCTGTAATATATCCATCTCAATTTTCAACATTTTCATACACACACACAGAATAACACCATCAGAAGAAGGCCCTCCCCACTGAAAGCATTAGATTACACAATGCCAGGCCTCACTTTGATACATCAGTTCTTAGGAAGGATACTCACTACTCACCCACTTAGTGCTTTCCCCCTTATACATACCGGGAACAACCTCTGACTCGTGGTGTCTGTTTACAGCCAATAACAGAGACTTCAACATAAATGCCAACGCAAACCTGAACAGGACATTAACAAGACCAACCAATTTCAGTCAGAAACATTGCACATTATTTCCACAAGGCTACCCAGCATGCTTTGCAGCTCAAACAGTCTCTTTGGGACACTCTCACAGAGAGAAATTTGAGCTTTAATCTTGCTTTAATCTACATATATCCATGTTCTGGTGTTATTAATGTTTTATTACAAGAATTTAATTAGTAGAAACACGAATCGAAAGGCTGCATGTTCTCGCCGGGGCGCCTCTTTCTCTCTCTCCCGCTGTGCAGCTAGTTCTGATAAACTGATCAGTGTGTGATCGCCCATGAGCTGAATTAAACAACAGATTTATTACTAGGGGAATATTGATGATGACGCACAACAGCTTTGTAGTTGTTTCAAAATAGTTAACCACTAATAGAGTCGATTAAGGGAGTTAATTGTGCTTGTTTTCAGCTCGACTGAGTTCTGCTCCGCCTCTTTTGGTTCTTCTCAAAGCTCACACCTGAGCGGGTCGTGGACACTTCACCTGTGATTTATAAACCGTTTGAGGTCAACAAAATAATCAACATTTTGTTATTTTGAAAAGCATAAAGATTTGGCAAATCAGAGATAGCGGAACAATATTTGTGTAAAATAGGAGACATAGTGCATCATTTTTGTTTTTAATATTGTTTCACATTAGAACATCACTACTTTGATTGCAAGGAAATAAATCTTGAAATGTAATTTCTTTGAATTACACTTCTGGGTTATTTTTATTGCATTTATGATTCAATGCAGCAAAATAAACAAATTTTAAAAAGGTAACAGATCATTGTAATGCTTGGTTTATTTACATAATGACTTTAATTGCTGGATGTCCGGCCCATGAGTTGTTGGTTTTCAGTAACTGTGGCCCCTGAGCAATTTTGTTGAATAGTCCTGCTTTATAAAGGTAGAGAAAAAAAAGGTATATTGCTTTACCTTATTAAAAAAATGCAGTAATTCATTATATCATGATAATTGGAGCCGAGTGAGCACATGCATAATAAGTGGAATCCATGCCTCTTCTGCTCCATTGTTAAGCCTGGAGCATTGTGACGTATGATCATAGATGTAAAATATGATTTGACTAGCTCAAGGGTATACCATATTCTAGTTATGCACTCTGTCAGCTGGTACACATGCCATTTAATCTGTTAATAATCATTTTTGTAGCCTTCTTATTCAAAAGTTCTGTTTATTGCCTGTCAGATCTTTTGACATCGAGGCTACGTTCCCCATGGAGTCCATGTTAACAGTGTCTGTGTATGACTGGGATTTGGTCGGCACCGACGACCTGATCGGAGAGACGAAAATTGACTTGGAGAATCGGTTCTACAGCAAATTCAGGGCAACATGTGGCATTTCATCCAACTACTCTGTGTGAGCAGCAGTGTGTCTTGTTTCTTAAGTATTTGTCTTGCAATTAGGGTATTTTTTAATTAGAGGAAAGGCTCAACTTTTATTTTGAAGGCATCTCAAAAAAATTTTTTTAATTAATCCACATTTCTGTCGTCTGTTGATATTAGGCATGGGTACAACGTTTGGAGGGACCCTATGAAACCCAGTCAGATCCTGGCTAAACTCTGCAAGGATGGTAAGATTGATGGTCCTCATTATGGGCCGGGAGGAAAAGTCAAGGTGGCAAATCGAATATTTATGGGACCAACAGAAATAGAGGATGAAAATGGTAAATGGACTGCATTTATCTCTCACAACTTTGAAATTGTATGAGACTTGAATGATGACTTGTTGGCTGTTTAGTACAATGTATGTCCCAGTGATGAGCAATATATATATATATATATATAAATATATATATATATACCTC